GATTTGATTAGATTAGTGTAGATAGATCTCCGTGAGACCATATTTCGACGTTAGGGGTCGATTTAGCCCCTCACAACCAACAAAGTAGCAAAAGGTATATGTGATAGAAGAAAGCCAAATTATATATAAATCTCTTGCAATAATTTATCTACATAATAATAGTAGTATTGTATTAGTATTAGTTAGTATTATTTGTATAATCATATTTACAGTTTTACTTATCTTAATAAAAATCTGATTTCATTGTATATTAAGTATTATTTCCCTTTAATAACATTATTAAAAGCCTCTTATTAATAACAACCTGATCCTAATGAAAGTAATAAATTAATAATAACATAATTTCAATAAACCATGCTCATATTTATTTAAGATCCCCTTATTTTTGCGGATCATTTATTTATAGCGTAAAAAACTTCAATATTTATATGTAGAGACGATGCATAAACTAGTAGGAATAAATTTCCTAGATTATCGATCTCAATAAGCGAAGGTCTCAATCTCTTTGCATAAAAACCATAAAGCAAAGAAGAAATATGTACATAATAGTATGTTACAATGACAAATTTAGTTTATGCTCAATGAGTTAACTAACCTTTATTCTATATAAAGTCATTAAAGGTTTTGGATTTCCTGCACCGTACGTATGTACGTACATACGTACGAGTGCAAGAAATCTAAAAATTACATCTCCTTATAGAGTTAAGTGTGTACATTAATACTCGAAAATTTTGATTTCCAATGGCAGACCATCTCTCCACAGTTAATATAACGTATAATCAGAATTGTACAGTATAATTTAGTAGCACACTTATCGATTTCAATAAAGTATTTATTTACACACTTTATTGAAATAAATAATTTAGGAAATAACCTGTTTATACTTGTCCCTATAAGGAGATTGTGGTTTTTAGATTTCTTGCACCTGTACGTACGTAATCATCCGAGGTAGTGATATAAGCGATGAAAAATAATTGGTCAGGAAAAAAGCTCGGACCAGTTGATCGAGCCAACTTTTCGCCAACTTTTGCCAACACAATTTTTCTGATCAGAATTAATCTGGCAATGTACGTATTTGAAATTTTTGATTTCTAAAAATTACTACTCAACAATTACGTATCGTAAACGATTATAAGATTAAAGAATGAAAGATAATGGTATAAATTTTTTTTCATTTCTAATGCAAGCTTATACAGTATATAGTAATTAATTAATTTTGATACATGCATAAAGACATTACGAATAACAATATTTGAATGTTTAACAATCTAAGAGTTCCCTAATCGGTAATGCCTTAACAATCCTGAGTTTAGTTGGGATTTCCAAATCTATCGTGTATTCATCACACTTACGAACTGCAAGTTGAGTATCCTTATTTCTTTTTTTTAGCAACGAGGACGGCCTTAATAACTTCGTGTACAAAGAGAACAAGTTTTGTGAAAATAGGAGAACCCTTCTTTAATTTTGTTAGATCAGTCGCCTTCAGGTGCATGTTTAACGTTTGTTTACAAACATCATCGTTAACAAATTCTTCTAATTCGTCATAGGGTTCATCCACACTATATATTTTTTTAATTAATATACAGTAAAGAACAATTAAATAATATATTTATATATTACAAACCTTTCATAAATTGATTTAAATTCGTGGGCTAACTTTACAACTGATGAATGAAATTTATAACGATACATGTTGTACCAACCACCAACATCTCTAATCAAAGACCCTAATCTTTCATCGGTTTTTGCAATTTTGCAAACTTGTGTAACAATTTCTTCATATAGCACGAAACTGTTATTTCGGGTTCGTAAAAAAAGAGCCTTACACTCCTCTTGGAGCTGAAATTTAATATGCTAAATCAGAATTAATAGTATGATCGTTAAATCAGAATGAATTAGTATAATCATTATTGGTCGTTATTTGTGGTGACTGAATTATTAAGTATCGATATTTTTTTTTTTTTATTACTTGATTAATTTCCGGAAGTCTTGACACAGGTTCATGTGTTAAGGTAGATGTTGGAGGCTCATCGGGTTCCTCATTTTCTACTCTCGTCACCATCCCATTTCTAATATTAATTGCCAAATCTAATATCCTTTTATAGTAAGCTAACCATAATGCGATTTCAAACTCATTCTTTACTATTTGAAATTGTGATGGTCGATTTGGTGGCATATTATCTATTAATTGAAATAAAATATTATTATAAAAATATTTATAGGTTCAATTTTTTAACATATACCTATAGGGGAAATCTGAAGAGGCGTAATGACATTATCAGTTTCACGTGCTGGCGAAGAGACCGAAAGAGGCAGAATATCGTCGTCACTTCTGTGATTTGGAGAAGAAGCTAAAGACGTAATTATAACATCATTTTTGGGACTTCTTAAAGGAGAAGTGGCATGTGTATTAACATGATCACTTTCATAATTATCATTTCTTTTACTTAGAGGTTCGTTTTGATTATGTCGAAGCGATGATTTATCAGGTAACTGCTTTTCGTATATATACTGTTAGCACTAATCTATTTTGACTTGCATTTTTAAAGGTCAAAATTATTAATTAGAACTTACAGTATTATCATTAAGTTGCTTCTGATTGGATTTACGTGGTTTTTTGGTAGTCGAACTTGCAATAGAACTTGCAGCTTGTTGGTTTTTATTATGATTTTGTACCTTTTTGGAAGCTGATCTCGTATCTAAAGAATCAATAACATTTTGAATTCGATAAATACACTGAGAATAATTAAATATTCTTGTATAACATACCTAATCGGCTTTTAGTTGTTAATTCATTTGATGCTTTTAATCATAACAAAAAATTTATTAAAACGAATTGTCTTAATCTTTCAAAATTTCTTTAACTTACCACCTTTTCATTTGGACATATTTGCACTTGTATGAGTTGAATAATGTCGTATCGACTCAAGAGTATGTTTTTAAATAATGTACAGATTTATATTGAGTATTTGAAAGAATTTAATCTCTCGTGATCAAAAAACTCATTATTTGTATTGTTATGCAAATATTTATTACATAATAGATCACTTCCTGCATCTGTCAGAATAAACTATCGTATGTACGTCATTGCATAATTGTCACTCATTATCACCCACTGTACATACATAAATTACTATGATATATATAATATCGATATATATTTAATATATAAATTATATATATAGTATATAATTATTTAAAAGTCTAATGAATGAATTGCATATTTGACGCAATAATTAATTAATAAAAGAGAATGGGATTAGTTAGTTAATTAATTCTATTTCTGTTATACCAATTAATACTACATAAGCGAAAGATACCGACTATTTTTTTATAACGTCAATAGAATAATGAAACGTTCAAACAGAATCACCCGTGCATATGTGCCAACGCCAAAATTACGTGTTAAACCGAAAAAAATAAGACATGAAGAAACCGAGGAAATATTATCTGATAAATTTTCAGATGATGATCATGATACAGAGAACATTACCCTTTTCTCCGAGGAATGTATAATCGAAGAAACCGAGAGCTCATCAATTATCAGTTACATTTCATCAAACGAAGTTAGTATATATTCTAAAATTCTTTTTGGAAAGTATACTTGAAATGTGTGTTTTTATGGAACATTTAATATATGAACCTTTATTATATTTTTAAGAAGCCCAGAAAAGCACGTGATGAGAATCTTGACAACTACCAACCTTCGTATAGGCCATTATCTGATATCTTAGATATCTTAGAAGAAGCATCGATCGAATATGACGAATCTGATTCAGATTCAATATATGATAGTAGAAATGATGAACAGTTATTCGATGATATAGAGGTTTTAACAAATAGCGATGAATTTGACACTATAGAAGTAGATGATGTATTAGAAGATATGTCTTCTGACTTTGAGGGTTTTGAAAGCGAATATGGTCCATACTTTCCAATTTACATCAGCAATGTTCTTCATTTGGATTACTAAACATATGATCTGTAAGTAATCTTTCAATATACTGGTCAAAAAAATTTTTTTTTAGAAAGAATTTTACATGCCGATTTTGATTTTGAATGTGACATTTTCAATTTCGATAGCAACCCTTGCGTATGAAGACCTCGTCAAGATTCTTAAGCATCCTGAGTATCGGAAGGAGGATGTTACTACAAATATCCGACAAATTCGGTAATGGAGATATAGATTACCTTTAGCTCAAATACGTACACATAATGTGCCTCTCTGTATAAAACGAACTCTGTCTACCTATGAATTAACTAAAATGGCATTTACTATTTCTCCATTAACGCATATAGAGCGTATTTTAAACAATCCAGTACTTATGTCAAAAATGTATTTTGGCCCTGGGGTTGTAACAAATGAAAAACGGGAGTTTTGGCATGGAGAATTATAGCAGGATTCACTATTATTCGGCGAACATGAAATAGAAAATAATGAAGATACTTATTTTCTTTCATTTAATTTATTAATTTATTTTATACTTAAATTTTTTTTAATTTTAATTGCAATTTAATTATTTTACTTAAAATTAATAACTATATTTTATTAGAGTTTTATAGAGCTGGAGATTTTTTAATATATTATAATCAATCTTTAATATTTATTTGTCGAGTATGAGGTGTAGTAGTTGATGAAACAGATAACAATTCAATTAAATTGAAAGTAAATCGAATTTTTTCGCATAAAGACCTTCCTAACATTCACCCTACTGATAATCGTCATATTTGTGGAAAGGGGAGGAAGTTATGGCTAAATGAAGAGGAAACGAATTTGATTAAACCAGCAAATATAGAACAATGTATCAATATTTGGTTATGTGACATGCCAAAACCTTCAGAATATGAATTTTATATTAAAGAAATCGTGTATCGTTTTGATGGTAGATGGAAGTATCGTGACATAAAATTAAGACATAAGTTACCTTGTGAAAATATTACTCTCGTGCCATCACCACAAAATCTACCTACTTTAAAGAATTTTCTTGACATTTATATGGATGATTTCAGTACTTACAGGAACGTATACTACTCATTAGGTGGCGTTTATTTACAGTTCGGCAATATGCCGTTGGATTTTAGAAAACAATTAAAAAACCATTTTTTAATTGGCTTCGTTCCATTTGGGGCAAGCTTTAATGATTTCATTAAGCCAATACTTCAAGAAATAAAACGGCTGAAAAATGGCCTTGTCATTAAAACTTTACTTGGTGATACATGGGTTATAGGTTAGTATCATTGTTATTTGAAATTATTAAATTTATTATAATACAGTCATGAAATATTTCAAAACTGTATCTTTAGCATGTATGTCCCAAAATAACGCATACTTTGTGGGAGTTATTAATATTTATATATACATGCGTCTGGGTCAGTATTATTGTTATTTGAAATATTAAGTTTATTATAATACAGTCATGAAATATTTCAAAACTGTATCTTTCAAAAATAACAGTTAGTTCAAAATAAGTTTCATTTATGTCCCAAAATAACGCATACTTTGTAGGAATTATTAATATTTATATATACGTGCGTCTGGTTCAAAAAATTGATATTTTGTTTCAAAAATAGCACGAAGATATAGTTGCTGCCCAAACTATTTGAGATAGCCCAAACCGTATGATAATTAGAGTAATATAGATTTAGTAATAAAAAATTAAGTGATAAGATCCAATATGACATTAATTATCACAGTTTGAATTGTGCCAAACAGTGTGAACAGCAAATATATGTGTAGGGGTGCGTTATTTCACGGTTTTATACAGTATTCGGGTTATTAAATTTTGTTTATTTAACAATATTATCATAGGCGGGGTTGGCTGTATCATAGCTGACCTCCCACAAGGAAACGATTTGGCAGGTGTAAAATGGCACAGTGCAAATCACGGTTGCCGAACTTGCACCGTACCAAATAATTAATATACAGATTTAAGTTATAACTACATACAAAATGCCCGCTATCATCAGCAAACAGAAGAACGGTTTGCAGAAATTGAAATCCAAAGTTTAAAGGCAGATATGAAATGGCTAGCAGTTGAATATGGGTTGGTGAAGCCAGGTCCTTTAAGAATGCTTCAATGTGATCGACATATCCAAACACCACAAGACGCTTACCATTCCATGGCTGGAAAAGCATGCACCCTTTTAGAGGCGACGTTTAATGCATTTAATCTAAATGGATAAAATGCTTTTCTAAATCATTAGAAAGATATAGAAAAACCAGCCAATTGGTGTTGGATGCCCAACCCCTTATGACATCGTCAAAGTTTCATGTTTTCTGATGTGTTGAGGCTCGCGATGTTAATGCCATTTATACTTCGACGATTTTTAAAGCCTCATCACATCAAGACAGAAACTTTGAGCAATTGGCATACAAACCAAAATTCTGCTTTATCTAAATTATGTACATGTTGGGCAGTTGAAGCCAATGTACTAAAACTTGCATTCTCACTTACAATGACAGAAAATCGCTATAAAGAATTACATGAAGCACTCAAAAGTGAACATGAAATACTAATACAAGTGAGTAAATTGTTTACTTGTGCATTTCAACTAGTGATTTTTTAAAAAAACAAAAAAAACTTGTAATTATAATAATTGTAAATTTCACTTAGTTAGATGGGGCAGTCTCAGTCAAAACGTGCCTTCGTGAGATCCGACAAATTGCTACACATATCTAATTGTAACATGGGTGTCGTCACTTTTTATTAATTACTATGGTGCCGGAAGCTTTAAATCTCCATAAAAAATAGCTTTACAAAAAATACTACTTCTCTTTTAAAAATTTAT